TTTTTTTTTTTTTTTGTACCGGGAATCGAACTCAGCACCTTGCGCTTGCCAGGCAGGTGCTTGTGCTGCTGAGCTACATCCCCGGCCGGAGACTCCAGCTTTAAACTCCAGCTTACAAGCCAGGGCATGTGGATGGATGTCTTCAGACCTGGCCTCCTAGTTTTGTTTGTTTGGGGAGTTTGTTTGTTTTGAGACAGGGTCTCACTAAGTTGCCCAAGCTGAGCTCTAACTTTGTGATCCTCTTGCCTCAGCTTCCCAAGTAGCTGGGATTACAGGTGTGCGCAACTATGCCTGGCTGTGTCCTGGTTGTTACTGCCCAGGACCTTTCTGACATTTTCATTGCCGCCGTTTCACAAAAGGGAAACAGATTGCGAAGGGAAATGACTTGCTCAGGGCTCCTGCAGCTTGTGAGCTGGGAAGCATTTCTGCAGATGCCCCGTTCTGTGTCTGGAGCCCCAAAAGCTTTGGCTAGCCAAGGCTGAAGTGTACAGCGTAGCAGACAGACGCCTAGAGATGGGCGAAAACTTGCCGCCCCCACCCCAGAGCCCCTCCTTCCTACCCCGGGGGGGAAGCCATGTCCTTGTCCTCTCGGGGGTCCCGGGGGCCACCGTGGAGCCCAGAGCCCGGTGCTGTGACAGGTCTCCACTGGGCCAGGGCCAGGGCAGCTGCCTGTGCAGCCCGCTCACCTCCTCCCCGTGCACCCCCTCCCAGCGCGCGGAGGCCGCCCAGCGCGAGGTGGAGAGTCTCCGGGAGCAGCTCGCCTCGGTCAACAGCTCCATCCGCCTGGCCTGCTGCTCCCCGCAGGCACCCAGTGGGGTAAGGATGTGGTCGAGGAGGGACGCGTTTTCGGGGGGGGGGGTCGTGCGTGACATTTCATGGGTGGGTTGTGTGCATCTCTGAAATTCCGAACACGTACATGTGGGGGGTGTCTCTGTCTGTACGGGGGCATCACATCCTCTAAAACATAATTCCCCTGAACTGCTTCACCAGAGGAGGGGAAAATGTAGCCACAGTTCCTGTAACGTTTCAAGCTCCAGCTTCCTGGAGCCCCTATTTGACCAGAAGTCTAGCATCATCTTTGGAGGCCTCCCTTAGCCCTGAGCTAGACCAGTGGTCTAGCCCAGAACCCCCCGGAGCTGTCAGACCAGAGGTCGTTCCTGTCTCCGCAGGGAGATGAAGCGCTGTGGCGGCGGAGCCGTCCTGGTGGCCGCCACGAGATGGCGCTAGTGGGCGGGGCCTCGCTAGGCTTGATCTCCAGAGACCAAGAGGCCCAGGGGGTTCCCAGTCCCTGCAGGCACCACATACCAACGTGTGAAGTTTCACACCACTGCACAGCCTTAGATCCCCAAAACCTGCCAGGGTGATTCCAGCAGGATCTTCCACCCAGCCACATGCTGTGAAGAGACACCTCGGTCATCAACCCTCAGGTCTGAGTGTTCAGCCTGGTTCCTCAACATCTTTTTCTTTTGCTGGGTGGGGTGGCGCACACCTGTAATCCCAGCACTCAGGAGTCTGAGGCAGGAGGACTGTTGCCAGTTCGAGACCAGCCTGGCCTACAAAGTGAGTTCAAGGCCAGCCTGAACTGCATAGCAAGACCCTGCCTCAAAAAAAAAGACAATAAATAAGTAAATAAATAAATAAATCAACAAACATCTTTCTCTTTCCTCCTGATCAGTGCCCCTTTGGAGGTCCTGCTATCATTTTGTTTTTTGAGACAGGCTCTCCTTATGTTGTCCAGGCTTGCTTCAAACTCACAGTGATCCTCCTGCCTCAGCCTCCCTAGTGCAGGGAATTTTAGGTGTGCACGACCACGCACAGCCCTGCCCTCATTTCTTGACAAAGGACTTTGGTCAGAGGCACCCCATTCAACCCCTCTGCAGTTGTTAGTGGTCTCCATCGCTACTCCCCGGTCAGTCTTTCTTCCGGATCGCTGCACACCAGGGCTTAGACTCACAGTTCCGCTCACAGGGTGATGTGCATTGTCTGCCCGGGAATCCTCTTGATTCCACCCGCTGCCCAGGCCCAGCCTCCACATGTCTCTTTCCGTGTGAACACTGGAGTGTGTGTGTGTGTGTGTGTGTGTGCGCGCGCACACTTGTATACTTGTGTGTGTGCGCTCACCACTTCTGGGCGTGTGACCATACTTAATTGGACTGCTTCTGCTTCCTTATCTTCCCTCCTACAACCTCCGTCTAAGGTCCCTGAGAGGTCTGCAGTGGAGCTCCCCGAATGGTGCTTGGCTCCTACTGTGTGCTCAGTAGATACGGGCGCCTTTGGTCATCTTCTCGCGAGACCATGCGGCCTCTCTGAACCTACACGTGTGTGTCGTGGCGATGTGCTCTCGTGAGCGTGGCTGCCTGATCGATGCCTGTGCACTTCCACGTGTGTGCCTGTGAGCGTGCGAAGCCAGGAAGGGCCACCCGTCCTCGCGTGCTGCGGCCGTGGCTGTGCGGGCCGCGCTGTGCCCGGCAGACGGCGTGTGTCCGTGCGCGGGCTGCTGCACCGCACAGAGGGAGCCGGGAGGCGGCGTGGGAGGCGGGGCGGAGGGCGAGCGCTCCCGGGGACGCCTCCGAGAGGAATTTACCAATGGCTCTTAATTAACCCCCTTGGAGCCCAGCAAGTGCTGCGCTAATCAGCCACAGGGAGCTGGGCTGGTTTGGGAGGTGAGCTGCTCTGAGCACAACAGCGGCGCTCAATGCTAATTAATTTAATGTATTAATGGCATCCGCTTCCTGTTTTAATTGGCATTTATCTCCATGGAAGAAAGCCGGTTGGCAGTGGCGGGGTGTGTGTGTATGTGCGTGTGTGTGTGTGTATGTGGGTGTGCGCGCGCACACACACGTTCAGTGCTTCTCAAGTGTATTTGGAGCCGAGTCTGAGACCGGCCTGACTGGATGGCCCTCAAACAGTAACTTCTCCGTCTTCATCTGGGACAAAGGGGCCACTTCCTAAAATGGAGAAGCCACGGGACTTGGGGTATCGGGGGACAGGCAGAAGGGAGCACCCTTAACGTGGCCTGCGGCTGCAAGGTCACTTGTCTAGCCCCAAGGGTCTCAAACAGGGACATCGCCCGGGGTAGGACCTGGACTAACGAAACCGGAACCCCGGTGCAAGCCGTTCCCTCCGCTGCGGGCGCCCAGGCCCTGGGCCCAGCGCACTGCTTCGCTCCGTGGCGGCTCTTTACTGACTAAGTGTCCACTGCCGCGCAGCACACGTGAAAGGAGACGTGGGTGCAGCGAGCACGCAGCACCCTGAGGCTTCCAGCTGCACTCACCGCGCGCCCGCGTCCACACACACAGCCTTCCATTCCGCGTGGGACGTGGGGGGAGGCCCGCCTGCAGCCCCTGCCCACCTCCAGCCCCTCAGAGCCCCGCTCTCCCCCAGGACAAGGTGGGCTTCACGCTGTGCTCGGGGCCTCGGCTGGAGGCGGCCCTGGCCTCCAAGGACAGGGAGATACTGCGGCTGCTGAAGGACGCGCAGCACCTCCGGAACTCGCTGCAGGAGCTGGAGGAGGCCTCGGCCAGCCAGATCGCCGACCTGGAGCGGCAGCTCACGGCCAAGTCGGAGGCCATAGAGGCAGGTCCTGGGGGCGGAGACGGGCGGCGCCCAGGCAGGCGGCCTCCCAGCACCGGGCCAGCCTCACCTGCGGGTTTCACTTTCAGAAGCTGGAGGAAAAGCTCCAGGCACAGTCCGACTACGAGGAGATTAAGACGGAGCTGAGGTACAGGCCCCCCGCCGCCCTCCCTGCTGCTCCCCGCCTGGCAGCCGCTGCCCTGGCCTCCTGTCCCCCCACCAACACTGGCCTCTGCTGAGGCCTGTCCTCCGGCCTGGCGCGGCTGACTTCGGTCTCCCCACGTTCTCCACAGCATCCTGAAAGCCATGAAGCTGGCCTCCAGCACCTGTGGCCTCCCGCAGGTGAGCGTCCCTGCCACTGCCCCTGTCCCCCAGGGCCGGCTGCCCCCCAGCCGCCTGCCAGCCGCGCCCTCTCAGCCCTGCTTCCTGTCCCCTCAGGGCATGGCCAAGCCCGAGGACTCGCTGCTCATGGCGAAGGAGGCCTTCTTCCCCGCTCAGAAGTTCCTCCTGGAGAAGCCCGGCCTCCTGGCCAGCCCTGGTAGGGAGGAGGGCCGAGCCCAGCGTGCGGGCCGGGCGGCTGGGCGCGGCCGGGGGTCTCTGCGCCAAGGTGCGCCGCCTTGCTGCGTCAGGAGAGCCGCGGAGCGCGAGGGTGCAGGCCGATTGGCCGCGGGGCGCCATCCCTCCGGCGCCCGCCCACGCCCGTGCCGCCGTCACGGCCCTGCAGGGCGCTGGCCCCCTGAAGAGCGTGGGACAGGCCAGCCCAGCGCTGGTTCCCCCGGAAGGGGCCCTGTACAGGCGGCGGGGAATCGGGGTTCAACGGCCAACACACTGTGCCCCCCACGAGCAGGCGATGTCCCCACGGCAGGAGGGGCTCCCACAACCCGCTGTTGTGCCAGGCCCCAAGGGGGGGGGCGAGAGAACTTGGGGGGCCTCTCCTGCGGCTTCCGGCTGCGGGACGCCATAGCGCTTCTCCCCATCGCCGTCTTCGTCCCCTCGCCCCCACGCTCTCTCTGAGAGTCGTCCCGTGTGCATCCCTCTGCCGGGCTCCTCCTTTCATTGCCACCCCGGCATGGGGCTTCTGTCTCCTGGGTTATCTCTGCCCCGCTCCCTGTCTCCGCCCCCCTCACGATCTCTTCTTCCTGTTTGTGTCCCTCTCTTCCTGGTTATTTTCCTTCCTGGTCCGCGCATCACCTCTCTGTCTTTGTCTGTTTGTCTGTCTTGGCGTTCTAGAGGAGGACCCGTCAGAAGACGACTCCATCAAGGACTCGCTGGGTGCCGAACCGCCCTACCCTTCCCCGCAGCAGCTCCCGCCTCCGCCAGGGCCTGAGGACCCCCTGTCCCCCAGCCCCGGGCAGCCCCTGCTGGGCCCTGGCCTCGGGCCTGATGGGCCTCGGACTTTCTCACTGTCCCCCTTTCCCAGCCTGACCTCGGGGGAGAGGCTGGCCGGGGACGCGCTGCTGCCCAAGCATGTGATGCCCCCGGCAGCCTTCAAGGGGGAGGCAGGCGGCCTGCTGGTGTTCCCGCCGGCCTTCTACAGCACCAAGCCCCCCGCGGCCCCTGCCACCCCGGCGCCCGGCCCCGAGCCCCCGGGGGCCCCCGAGCAGGCAGACGGTGTCGGGGGCAGCACGGCGGCGGCCGGGGCGGAGGAGGAGCAGCTGGACACGGCGGAGATCGCCTTCCAGGTGAAGGAGCAGCTGCTCAAGCACAACATCGGGCAGCGCGTGTTTGGCCACTACGTGCTGGGGCTGTCGCAGGGCTCGGTCAGCGAGATCCTGGCCAGGCCCAAGCCCTGGCGCAAGCTCACGGTGAAGGGCAAGGAGCCCTTCATCAAGATGAAGCAGTTCCTGTCGGACGAACAGAACGTGCTGGCCCTGCGGACCATCCAGGTGCGGCAGCGAGGTGAGCGACCCGGGCCCCCGCGGCTGCCGCCACCACCCAGCTGTGGCACCCGGGGAAGGTGACTTTGTCTCCTTGAGCCTCCGTTTCCCCACCTGACTGCCTCCTGGGGGTCCTAAGGAGAGCCGAAAGGGATGCAGAGCACTGACCTAGCATAGCACCTGCACCTAGCGTAGTAGCTGCCCGAGAGCTGCCAGCCAGGGTAGCTGCCATCACCGCTGTTGTCACTGTCATTGTCACCGCCACACTCGGGCGGTCTGACCCTCACCCCCTGACCCTGGAGCCCCTCACGCTCAGCTCCAGGACGGACCCCCACCCGGCGACAGATGCCTCCTTGCCTCCCCCAGGCAGCATCACCCCGAGAATCCGCACGCCTGAGACAGGCTCGGACGACGCCATCAAGAACATCCTGGAGCAGGCCAAGAGGGAGATCGAGTCGCAGAAAGGGGGTGAGTGTGAGCCCGGCCGGCGCGGCCTCACCCACTTCCATCCACCCCAGGGACTTCTAAGCGATGTGAAGCTGCAGGGGCCAGGCGATCTCTCCAGATCACAGGCACGGTCATTCGTGTCTCAGATCCTCCCGTGCTCCCTGCTGCGAGCCTGCGCCCCGCCCAGGCTCTGACGGGGAAGTGTGTGCGTCACACCCGCACCCGGGCCCCTGTGCTGGTCCCTGCACCTCTGATGCCATCCTCGCCTCGACACCTTTCCCAGTCGACTCCTGCTCATACCTCAGCCCAGAAGTCACCTCCTCCGGGGAGCCCCCCATCCCTGTCCAGGTGGATCGAATGCTGCCCCTTCTTGGTCCTTCCATAATGATCTGTCATGCTCGGCGCAGTGGAGCCAGATTGGCCACAAGCGCTGGCCCTGTGTTAGTCGTGTGATCATGGACAAGTTACTCGCCTCTCTCTGCCTCCATCTCCTCATCCTTAAAATGGGTGCAGTGTTACCACTGCTTTCTGAAGTGAGAAAGTGGGTGCTGTCACAAGCACGGTGCTCCACAAAGACTGTAGCAAGCGTAATCCTTACTACCTCTGTCTTCCTACAACTGCGCAGCTTCCACTGATTCTGCTGGAGTGGCTGTCACTTCCCGTCTGGGTCTTGTTACAGCCAGGAACCAGTGTACCCAGCGCAGTGTAGCTCAGGCAGGGTAGACCTTGGCTGACGGTTAGGCACTGACGCCAGCCTCCTCCTTGGCTTTGCAGTGTCTACTGCCCCCCGGTGGCTTCTTGGAGCAGGTGTCCTGATTTCCAAGCTACTTGCTACTAGGAGCACAGATGTTTTCCTAAGACCTGCCTTCCTACCTGTTTACAACACTGACAAACTTGCAGGGCATGGTGGTCACACCTGTAATCCCAGCAGTTGGGAGGCTGAGGCAGGAGGATTGCAGCACATCAAAGGCTGGTCTGGGCTACAAAGTCCAAGGCCAGCATGAACTACATGGCAAGACCCTCTCAAAAAACAAATCAAGGGCTGGGGATTTAGCTCAGCGGCACAGCGCCTGCCTGACAAGCGCAAGGTCGTGAGTTTGATTCCCAGTACCGGAAAACAAACAAACAAACAAACAAACGATCAACAACAAAAAAAAACAGTGACAAACTTGAAACAACTCACATTTTCAGCATTAGGGGATCAATATGTAACAGATAATATCCCTCTGATCACTTATGCAGCCATTAAAGATGGAAGGGTTTTGTTGTGTTGTTTTGGTTTTGTCTCTGTAAGGTTTTTTTTAATTTGGTTTGGTTTGTTTTTTGAGCACTGGGGATTGAACCCAGGGCCTAAACACTGAGCTATATCCCCAGCCATTGGTTTTGTTGTTGTTGTTGTTGCTTTTGGTGTTTGTTTGTTGTTTGAGACAGGTCCTTGCTAAAGCACTGAATTGCCCAAGCTGGGCTCAAACTTGTGAGCCTCCTGCCTCAGCCTCCCAGAGTGCTGGGATTACAGACATTTACCACCACACCAGGCTATGCTGGAAGAACTTCTTAATGATAGGACAAATTACACACCTGTAATCCCAGCTCTTGGAGCTGAGGCAGGAAGATCAAAGGCCAGTCTCAACTACGTAGTAAGACCTTGTCTCAAAGAAACTTATTTTTTAAACCAGGCGTGGTGGCGCACACCTGTAATCCTAGCACTCGGGAGGCTGAGGCAGGAAGATCATTACAAGTTCATGAACAGCCTGGGCTACAAAGTGAGCTCAAGGCCAGCCTGAATTGCATAGCACGACCCTATCTCAAAAAGACAAAGAAAAACAACTTATTTTTTAAAAAGTAATTTAAAAATGGTAGGAGAAATTGCTCAAGCTGGCTCTCAGTAAGTACAAACCAAACCCTATCCCCACATACCACGTGTGATCATACAATTCGTGTGGTATAAGAAACGTACCTGAAGAAAAACATTAAAATATTTCAGGTCTTTGCCTTGGGGAGAGCGTGACTAGGGATTCTTATTTTCATCCTTTTCATGCTTTCCTTTGAGGGTGTGTATCTGTGTGTGCATATGTGTCTAAGTTTGCCACGGTAAGCATGCATGGCCTTTTTTATTGAACTTTTTAAAAATTAAGGTAAGTCAGGCCAAGTGGCACACCTATAATCTCGGGACTCTGGGAAGCTGAGGCAGGAGGATCAACCGTAAGTTTGAGTACAGCCTATACAACTTAGTGACTTGGCAAGACCTTGTCTCAAAATAAAAAATAAGAATTGAGTTCAAAGTCACACAGAGTTCACCACCGTGTGTGTGTGTGTGTGTGTGTGTGTGGTAACAGAGATCAGATCCAGAGGCACTCCACCACCGGGCTACATCCCTACCTTTTTTTTTTTTTTTGAGACAAGGGCTCACTGACTTGCCCAGGTGAGACTCAAATTTGTGATCCTCCCGCCTCAGCCTCCCCAGTGTGGAGATGGGCAAAGGCCACAGTGCCTGGCAAAAGTTACCCATTTTAGACCCGGCCGCGGCGGCCCACACTTTCGATCCCAGCACTTGAGAGACTGAGCTCGAAGGGTCACCGCGAGTGGAGGCAGCCCGGACTACATAGCAAGCCGTGTCTCAAGAAAGCCAAAGACAAAAAAATTTAAAGTGTGCAACTCAGTGACACTGAGTGCAGTCACGGTATTATGCAATCACCATTTCTTAATTCCAGAACACTCCCTCACCCCAAAAAGATGCCCCGATCCTGGGAGCAGTCACTGCCCACGCCCTCTGCCCAGCCCCTGGCGGCCCCTCATTTACACCCGTTTTTTCGGATTACCCGCGTAGAAATGAAATCCTAGATTGGTGTCCTGTGTGCTGGCAGCTCTCACTTTGCACCTTGTTTGCAGGGTTTTTCTAGGTCATAGTGTGGATCAGTGCTGCGTTCCTTTTCATGAGTAAATAATGTTCCATTGCTGGACTGCTCTTTTAGTTGGAAAACCATAAACATTATTTTAATGGGCCTGTGGGGACCCTCGAGGATGGAAACTGCACAGAACAAAGCAGAAGGTCACACTGGACAGGGCGGGGGACCCAGGAGGACAGGCCGCTCCAGTGGTTATCCACATGGTTGTCTTTCCTCAGGCACAGATTCATTACCGCCATGGTAGCTCTCTGCATGGCCTTCTCCTGTATGTGTATTTATACATTCATTTATTCATTCATTCACATAACGGAGGGAACCTCTGGAGTCTATAGCCTGACCCAAGATTTAGAAACCTCCCAAGGTCTTCACTCCTCTGGCTTCTGCCAGCCCTGCCCGCTCTCCCAGAGCTACCTTCGTTCTCCGTGTTTCATTGTTCCTCTGTGTTCGCCATTTGTTAAAAAACATTGCTCACTAAATCCCATGCTATTTATTTTGCTTTTTTGGAGCCTTTATAGAAGACATGTTGTCTTGCTTACTTTTCTCTTGTTGCTGACACAAAATACCCGACACCCAGAATTAAGGAAGGAAAGGTCTATTTAGCTCACAGTTTGTGGAGGTTTCAGTCCATACTCGGCTGGTTGCAAGGCAGAGTGGCACATGGCAGAGGGCAACAGTTTGTGGTGGCAGAAAACAGCAAAAGCAGCAAGAGCAAAAAGGGAGGAGCAGCAGAGGGAGGAGCAAGCCTCTGCCCCTCACCTACACTGTATGCAGGCTACCTACCCCAGGGCGGGTGTAGCACTCACACCCATAATCCCAGCGTTGGACCGTGAATCAATCACAAACTCTGGAAGCCCACCCCATGACTGCCTGAGGCCCTGGAGGGACATCCAGGCACCAGCCATAACACATGCTCATCATGACCGTGTGTTATGTTCAGTGTGGCCCGTGGGTGGTTTTACAAGTCGGTTTCAATTATACCTGGTGTATAGCATTCCACCGCCTGGCTATTATTCGTTATCCATTCTTCTACCCGTGGGCGTGGGTTTGTGGCATAACTTTGCTGTACTACAAGCGAAGGAGCATCCCTTACACGCTGTAGTCTTTCCTGTCTGAACATTTGCATAGTTACATCACAGCACAGGTAAAGGCACGCAGAGGAACCATAATTTACACTCCCCAATTGTTTGTTTGTTTGTGGTTTTTTGTTTTGGAGACAGGGTCTTGCTGTGTAGTTCAGGCTGCACCTGAACTCACTGTGTAGCCCAGGCTGGCCTCGAACTCTGTCGATCCACCCGCCTCGGCCTCGCTGAGTGCAGGGGTTGTAGGCGGGCGCTGCCCCCACATCCCGCCGGCCTCAGTGCCGCCGCGGGGAGCCTCTGCCCTGACGGTGGGCCCGCCGCCCCGTCCTCCTGCCCGCAGGTGAGCCCAAGAGCTCGGCGGCGCCCCCGAGCGTGGCCAACGGTGCGGCGTCCGCCAGCACCTCGGAGGACGCCATCAAGAACATCCTGGAGCAGGCGCGCCGCGAGATGCAGGCGCAGCAGCAAGCGCTGCTGGAGCTGGAGGC